TGCAGATGGCGATGGTATCGACGTTGGAAACCACGAGGCCCAGTAAGAACATGCGCAGGGGAAGGATTCATATCGGCAGAAGCAGCCGAACTCGGATTCCACGTTCGTACCCGATGACCTCATGACCTTGTAAAAAGCAGTGGGAACACGAAAATGCATCTTCGTTCCGATCTGGTGCAAATACGCAATAGCATTCCTCACGCGAAGCGGACTGGGAATGGAGGGCAAGGGGAGGCGACGCGGGGATGACTCCCTCCTGTCCCCAAGACATGGCAGTGGATGCCGTGCAGTCGCGTGGGTCATCACGAGTGGTAAATTCAGGTTCGTCCCTCCTCCGCTCGATTGAGTCATCCCTCCATTACACTGGGTTCGTTTTCTAGGCAAATCCAAAAGCGAGAAAAAATCGGAAATCATTCTCGCCGATGCCAGACTCACGATCCGATCTGAACCCTCTCAATACCGAAGTCCTTTCTCACAGATCAAAAACCAGAATTCCTTTTTTCCGTGAAACTGGTCATTCTAATTTCCATGGTACAATAGATGAATTCGATGTGTCTGTTTGTTTATAAGTGTGTCTTCGACGTCGCTAAAGTTTACAGAACGTTTGGAACAGAGTATCCTCTGGATCACGATTATACTTTATTAAGATTGGGCGAAAATTGCGACACCGTTTTTTTTCTCCAACAAACCAAGAAGAGAAAAACCTCCGACAACCTGATTTGGAGAGAGGGGAAACGGTGTCGCATTTGACGCAGATATGCCTGGAGGGGGGGAGGGGAGGAAGAGGAAAGGAAGGGGGATTTCAGAAGTAAGGAGTCATCGCTCGACTCATTCTCTCCCTTCCGTCTCAAACTTCCGATATGCATTCAAGCACCACTTATATCGCTCGAGCAATGTCATTTACTCTCTGAAAGATTCCCCAAAAACCTTAAGAAAGTCATTCGGAACAGCTGGGACTGGGCATAAGCATCATCGGCAGAATTCGTGAAAATTTAATTACTTGCATTGCAGGGAACGGAATTCCTTTTTTAACACTGGTTTTCTCTGATTTAAATGGATTACTTTTTTTTTTAAAGCGAATATGGCAAAATGGCAAAATAGGCTACAGCTTACATGGCCATTTCGCTTTCGTTCTTGTGGAGTGACTTCGTATTCTTCACCCAGAAGTTTTTGCCATTGAACAAGGGAGAGAACTGGTTGTTGTGGATATATTCGAGTACCGAATGGTGAAAGTACCGAAGAAGAATATGGGCGTCATGTACGAGTGCGTGAAAAAGTCCTGCGGCTTTGTAGTGGGGAATGTCAGCGAACAAAGAATAGTGCAGAAGGCTGGCACGATCGTCTATCCGATCTGATAGACTAAGAGGGCTAATCCGGATTTGGGTGAACTTGTGGAAATTTCGCAGCGAGAAGAGCTAGCGGTTAGTGTGAAGGTTTCCCAATACCAGACAGGACAAGTAAAGATCAAAGACAGAATGATCGTGGAGAAGGAGATGCAATTGTCTGACGCTTTAGAGAAACTGGAGGTTCAAAATGTTGGGGAATACTTGGAGAAAGTTATAGAGATTATGTACCGTTAGTCTGCCTTTGAATTTGGGGGATGCCTCTGTCCAGTCCCAGCTGTTTTCAATGACTTTCTTACGTTTTTCGGGGAATCTTTCAGAGAGTAAATGACATTGCTCTAGTGATTTAAGTGGGGCTTCAATGCATAACGGAAGTGTTAGACGGAAGGGAGAGAATGAGTCAAGCAATGACTCCTTACTTCTGGAATCCCCCTTCCTTTCCTCCCCCCCCCCCCCCCCCCCCCCCCCCCCTCCCCCTCCGGACATATCAGCATCAAATGCGACAACGTTTNCCCCCCCCCCCCCCCCCCCCCCCCCCCCCTCCCCCTCCGGACATATCAGCATCAAATGCGACAACGTTTCCCCTCTCTCCAAATCAGGTTGTCAGAGGTTTTTCTTTTCTCAGCTTGTTGGGGGAAAAAAAAGCGGTGTTGCAATTGCCGCACAATCTTTATTAACTCTGCCATTGTTAGAGTAAAAGTTCCTACTTTCTTCTCTTTCCTTGCCTTTCCTACCGACCAAATATAGGGATTGAAAGCAACTCAAATCTTGCTTTAAAAAGAAAAGAAATTACTAAGTAATAAATAACTTAAAATAAAAACAGTATTGCCTTCCGTTTCAGGGGAATGCACGTAGCGACCCGGCCGGGAAGTCGTCCAAAAATTGTTCTGAAGGTCATCGTCAAAAAGCCTGGGGGAAGGGATAAAGTTGGAACAGAATCCCCCTGATACTTTCTTTTTTCGATTCCAGCCGATCGGGATTCCCCGAGTAGGAAACGTGCCATCCGCGGTTATATGACACATTTTCCTGCCTGCATGCGGAAGTGAAAGGAGCCGGCAGTGAAAGGAGCCCTTAGAGATCTTCAATTTCCAAGGGAAGTTCTCCCAGGAGAGTCCTTCGCGGGTTCCCTTATCGCCCCATCCCGACCACTGGCCACAATTTTGAAAGCTCCTCCTCAAGCAAGGCCGAACTTCTTAATCTGATTCTTTCTTTGCCACATTTTTCCTTACAGGCTCCTTTGCTGTGGCCACGGACAGTTGGCATCTGGAATAGGATTCGGTTCATGCATCAAGGCTATGAGAATGATTTAATGTGCGAAGGTAAATTGCACGAAAATGATGGCTGAGGCAAACTGGCAGTGCCATTAAGCCGAGTAATCCTCACAAACGGAATAGTCCAGTCCCTGTCCGCTCGGGAAACTTTGCCATGCAAGTCAGCATCTCAATCTATAAATAAGACGATGGCTATACCACACTTGCCTCAGATCGGGAACGCGTCCAGCTTTTTTTTTGCAAAAGGGTTCCCAATCGGGTCGGGCCCGCGAAAGCCTTACCGCACAGACCTCTCTTTGACAGCCCGACCACCGCATCCAGTGCAGTTCTGCCCATCGCCTGCGACCTCCTCCATTCCCTTCACGTGCTTCCTGTGACCTCCTGCACTCCCTTCGCGTGCGACCTTCGTCCACCCGAGAAGCGAGACTAGACCTCCGATCGGTATGGGATCTGTGTTGAACTCGGTCTCCAGCGCCTCGTCCGATTCCACCGTCGGTGAGACATTCATTTGAAAATTCGTCGCTTTCACAATTCCTTATAACTCCACAATTCTCCAGGTGAAGCGAGAAAGGTATTTCCAGTTAGAAATGATTTCATTTCCTCCCGTTTCATTTACTAAGCATCGCCGAAGAAGGAGCGCATAATTTCGGCACGATGTTCAGCATTCTCGAAATAGGTTATCGCAAACGAAGAAACTAAAATGTACATGTGCAGGCACTTATGAGCATGAGCCCTTGTTAACGACCGTTTCCTTTCCGTCTGAGGCATGCTTAGTTCGATTTCGAAACGATGCACGAATGAATGAGGTTTAGCATCCGAGCGGAAAAGTCCAACCCATAGAGCGTATATAGATGTCTCTTTTGAGGCCTTCGCTGCCTCGAGACTCTCAACTGCTTCCGCACATCTTGATGGAAGTCTCGCAAGCGGGAATGAATAGCGTGATTGGTTGGTTCCTAGCGTGGAGGTCCCCGGCCATATAGCCCGGGGCAAGTTGCCTCTTTTGCCCTCCCCTTTTTCATGTGTCTGCTATGAACTCCTTGCTCGTGCGACTTCAGAGGGATGGCGGCCGCCCCTTGGAAGGGTGCAGCACCTCGTGCCATGGGGGAGGCCCTCCATTTATATCCTCTCTGTGGTCGAACCGCATTAAGAATCCTTTCCGGTTCGTCGCTCGACCGCAACGCGAGGAACGAGGTCGCAGACGACCGCTTTCCCCTATCGGCTGGAGCCGTTGGGGCACCCGGCCTCCCCAACCCGGCCCGTGGAAGGGTCGCGAAAAATAGAGCAATTTAAAGAGCTCTCGTGTAACCGTCTATATCTTTCCGATTCCTCCTCGCATGAGTAGAGATGGAAAAATATTTACCCTCCGCCTTTACGGAGGAGCTCCTTTAGCTTCTTTTATTTTACGGACGTTTGTATTATACGTATTTTTATTTATAATAAAATGGAAGAAAACATTTGGCGTAGTACAACCTTTATAATAAAAACATAATAAAGGAAACTATCGACTCATGTGACGCAATCAAATGCATTTCTGAGAAGGGAGAGTTGAACGAAAAAATATGGAAACTAATCGGAATTTAAAATGCCCTTCGGCTCCGTAGGTAACAAAGCAGACATTGTATTTAGAGCCTCTAATCTTTAGATCTAAGCGAGTGAGGAGGAAAGTATTTTGGAATCCCTCTTTCTCGATTGTACAAAGCTTTGGCCCAAATTTCATCAAAATCAGAGGAGGTCGTGTTTTGCAGTGTGTTGATTTGACGTGGAATGACTCCATTATTATTTTCATTTTTGTTTCCGTCGACCTGGAATTTTCCGTCTTCCACTGTTGAAAAAGCATTCTTCGTCGAAGCAATCCGACTGCTTGAAAAATGCGCGAATTGCATTCTTCTCCCCTTTTCCGTCATTCGTTACTCGAACGTCGCGACGATCGGCAGTCTCGCCGTCGAGCTGAAGGGAAAGCGATTCGTTTCGTCACCAGCTCCGAGACGACAACTGAACGCTTCCTCCCAACGCCTGGACGCTTCCTCCCAACGCCTGGACGCTTCCTCCCAACGCCGAGGAGGCAAAACCTACTTTCCAGTCGAGTGAATTTCGTATTTCACGAAAGCCGTTTCAGCGTGAGTCGGATGCGGCCCCTTTGCTCGGAAAGTTGCCGTGCCGCCGGTCTCGATTCTCGACCGCGCTTTACGGGATTCTCGCGAGCCCCACCGTTGTTTAAGTGCCGTCGTTGTCAGAACGAGGAAGAACGGTTCTTGTGATACATCTATGACACAAAATGGAAAATTTCAACCGCTAGCACCTACCGAGACGAGAATTCCCCGTATTTCCCCGGAAGTACTCATCGGAACTAGTGATATTCCTCTCGCTCGTGACGCTCACGATCACGATGCTCACGATCACGATTCTCCCCATCGCTCCAGCCGAGGTGAAATACGACGAGGTGAGGGAAAAGCTGTCCAAGAGGGAAATCCAACTGTTGGACTGCCGGAATCGACCGGAAATCGGGAACGCCGGAATGGTCCCCGGAAGTTGCAACGTCCCCCGTGAGCATTTCTCCTCTTTTTTTCTCCATCTCCTCGATAAAGGACTGAAGGTCGGCGAGGAAAAGACACAGAGAAGTGAAACAAAAAAAAAGCTTCCAAAGAAACGTAATAAATTAAATTGACTTACCTCAGAGAATCTAGCCTGAAGCTAGAGGAAACGCGTCCCGCCATTCGTAACTATTGGTTATTCAAATCACGAACGAGGTGTAACGTTGCTGTTCGTTAAAGCGCTTGCCATCCTTCAATTTTTATCTGGATGGATTTCTTCACTCGCATTGCAGTTCCTGAGTTGGAAGAAGCCTTCAAGATGGACTCGGACTCCTTCGAGAGGAAATACGGATGCAGGAAGCCGAATCCGGAGGAGGAGAACGTGGTGATGATGTGCGGAACCGGGCGGAGGGCGAAACTGGCCATCGACGCGCTCCGACCCCTCGGATATCACCGGCTCAAGTCAGACCGATCGCCCGAAGGCGAAAATCAAAAATTAATTCTGCTGTACCTAATGAAATTATAACTATTTAATTTTTTTTTTTACAGGTGGTACAGTGGGAGTTTCAACGACTGGGTCGCCAAAGGGGGCGACGTGGCCAAATCCCGCGACCTGTTCCAGCCTACAAATTCCTGATTTCTTCAACCGCTATTCCTGCTTAATTGCCAATTTGTATATTTCTGCCTTGCGCTTTCATGCGATCGAATGACGTGCAATACTCAGTACTGAAAGTACGACGTGATCGTCTATCTAACTGCACCAGATCGTCCATCTGGTGCGGCTGACTTATTTTTGTATTTGAGGTTGTCTCACTTTGGCAACATCGCCCGTTCTCGCGTCCCCGAGTCAGTGTGCAATTTCGAACCCACCGATTCTGGAGATGCCGCTCCGCAACGAATACCCGTCCTCGATCCACACCGCCGTACACATTCTGCGATACGAGCCAAAAAAAGTGACGAAAGAGAAAGTCGAAGAGGGAAACGGTCGATGGCCTCGACGTTGTGAACCGCGAGGCCCAGCGAAACGCGCGCAGCTGAACGATTCATATCGGCAGAAGCAGTCGAACTCGGATTCCGCGGTCGTACCCGATGACCTCACGACCTTGAAGAATGCAACGGGGGGGGGGGGAAGGAAAAGGAACCTCCATTCGGAACTGGACCCCGCGCAGTTGCATCCTCGACGGGAAAGCGAGTCGGGGGGGGATGGCTCCCTCCCGGCCCGTGACATCGGAGTGGATGACACCTGTGCAGTCGGGTGGGTCACCGCGAGTGGTGAATGGACATCCCTCCTCCGTTCGATTGGGAGTCATCCCTCCATTTTCCCGGAATCCTCTCTCGTTTTGAAGGAAATCGAGAAGTGTGAGGAAAAATCCCAAGCGAGACTCGCGAATGACAAGCTCACGGTCCGATCTCGACTTTATTTTAATGCGGAAATCTTTCTCCATAAATGAAAAACCAGAATTCCTCATATTTTATTCCCATGTCACTCGAATTTTCATGCATCAGAGGTGCCTTCGAAATATCTGCCTACGCGTGCCTTCGGCGCCGCTGAAGTTCACGAGCGTTGGAAATTGCATTTCCACTGAGTCACAAATAATAATGAATGAAAACTGTCGTTATCCGCAAAGTTCCTTTTTTTCCCCCTCTACTCTTTCCTCGTTTTTCCGAAATTCTCAAGAACCTTGTCTGCTGAAGAATGGGAAATGTGCATCTCCGATGCGCCGAAGCGAATCGGAGCCATTGACGATGACCTCGGGAAGAAAATATCCGACCAAAAGAAGGGCTTGCAAGTGGCCCCCACCGAAGACCGCTTTTCGGGAAAACGAGTTCTGGCTTCCATTCACAGGGATTGCATGCAGAGACTCGGCGGGAAAGGCGTCACGAAACGATCCACAAGGTCGTCGCCAAAAGGCCCGAGGGTAGAGATGAAATTCATAGAGAATATTTCATGATCTCGGACGAACAGGGATTCCCAGAAATGGAAGCGTCCCGTCCGCGGTTATCTAACGCATTTCTGTGCCTGCAGGGAGTAGCGAAAGGAGCCGGGGGTGAAAGGAGTCCGAGAGATTCACATCTACCAAGGAACGTTTTCTCCTAGAACAGAGCCCTGTGCGGGTTGCCGTTTTGGACCTCCCCCCCCCCCTCCCCCAGCTTCTCAACTGTGGCCACGAACAGTCGGCATCTGGATCGTGATTCGGTTCACGTCTACAGGCTGTGAGGGTGAGGATGCTTTAATGTGTAAAAGTGAATGAATCGAGATTGAGAGAAATGGACGGTTGCATAAGTATGAATGGAATCTTCTGGGTTCCTGTCCGAACTGGAAACTTAGCCGAGCGAGTCGCCATCCCCTCTCATAAGACGATGGCCGCATCACACCCGTCTCAGATCGGGGACGCGTCTAGTTAAAAAAAAAAAGGGAGAAAAAAGAAAATGGTTGAAAAAGGGTTCCAAACCGGGTCGGGCCCGCGGAAGTCGTTCGGCGCAGGCCTCTTCCCCCCCCCCCCCGACCATCGCGCAGTCCCTTCTGCTTGCGACCTCATCCATTCCATTCGCGTGCATCCTGCGACCTTCTCCATCCTCTTCGCGTGCGTCCTGCGTCCACCCGGGAGGCGAGGCAGAAGGTCTTGGATCGACATGGGATCTGTATCGAATCCCGTCCCCAGTGCCACCTCCAATTCCACCTTCGGTGAGAAGTTCATTGCTTCCGTAATCACCATGCGCGATTTTGTCTTCTTGTTGCGAGAACGATAATTCCTCTCTCAAATTATTTAATTCGTTCCCATCGTATTTTCTGAGCTTAATTTAAGGGAAGCGCTTCGGCTTCAATTGGTCTTTCAATTGGTCATTTGGCTTCAATTGGCTGGCCTACCGGAAATAGGCTATCCCCAAGCGCATCCTGTACACAAGTGTCGTTTACCCGTCTGAGGTACACTTCGGTTCGACTCCGAAACTTCGAATTACTGAGGGGACAGACATTCGAGTGGAAAAGATCCAAACACTCCAGCGACAACTATCGGTTTGTCGCTCGACCGCAGGGCGAGGAATGACGTCGCAGAAGACGAAAAGATGGGCCGGACCGTTAGTGGATCGCTTTCCCCGGTCGGCGGGACCCGTTCGACACCAGGCCGTCGAAAGGGTTCCGAAAAGTAGGCGACGGCCAGCGCGATGCCTCGAGGGCATCCACGCCTCCGCATCTTCCGGCAGAAGCAGCCTGGCTCGCGCGCCGAAGGGAGTGCGGTCGTGGAGGTCGCATCCCTTCCTGGCGTCCTCCCATCCAGGGGAAAGCCCTTGCAAGGTGTTCGTGGTCGCTTCCGTCATTCCATCATTCCGTCATTCCGCTCGTTCCCTCCGCCGTTGCGGTGCGCTAGAGCTCTCTGCAAGCGGCGATCCGCGGTTCTGTCCCGAACTCGAGTCACCCACTTAGTGTCGTATGATGTAACTGTGAGACTCGTTCCGATTCCGTTTCTTCATCGTATAAAAAGAGAAATAAAACTGTTTCTCTCTCCTCCGCTCGTAGAAAGAAGATCTCGGCGCCCTCTTTTCCCACATGCTTGTAACGCGTTGGAATAATATTAATAATAATGAGAAAATTCTGTAAAGCAGTCGATCTCGATCGATTCGATGCCGTCATAGAATGCATTTCAGACTGGGGGGTTAACGAATGAACGCAGAAACGAATTTGGATGCCATTACATGAAATGAACAAAATTGGTTTCGGAATCCGTCCGCCATCAGCGCCCCCAATCGCAGCGACGAACCTCCACCGACTCTGGATTCGATTGATGCAAAGAAAAGTCGGCGAGAATTTCTGGCGATGCAATCGGGAGGCTGATGAAATTCCAATTCCTCGATCGCATTTTCGCGACGCTCTTGGCCTCGGGAACGTCGAGACGATATCGAAGGAATCGTCGACACGCGCCGTCAGAGACGTTTGCCGCAACCGTTCCACTGTTTATTTCTTCCGACTGGCTCGTATTTTCCGTCGTCGACGGACGCTAAAAGTCTTCTTCCTCGATGCAATCTAGCTGCTTGAAAAATGCACGATTCGATCGTGCATATTTGTACCGATAAATATAAATATTGGTAACGCCCATCACAGCGAGCGCATTCTCCCTTAAAAAATAAATCGATTTTGAGTTATACGAGGGTCGCGATGCTCAAGGCCCCGGGTCATCTCGTCCTCGAGCCGTCCAGAATGTAAGGGGAACGAGAGGTTCCACATCCGCCTCGAGGCACCTGTCCCGAGGAGGCCGCTTCTGGAAGCGGCCCATGGTCGCTTCTGGAAGCGGCGGAATAAAGGTCAGCGGTACGCTGACCTTTATTCTCCACCACGCTCAGGGAAATATTCGAAATGCTCGTTTAAAGCCATCTCCGTCAACAAGAGGAGAAATGACAGAAAAATGAAAAATTAAAATGAAAAATTGAAATGGCATCAACAATCGTTACGAGTGATTCCCCTCGATTGCCTGGAAGTACTTATCGGTACTAGTGATATTGTTATTGGTCATGATGATACCGGTGACGCAATCGTTCCCTCATCGCTCTAGACGAGGTGAATTACGACGAGGTGAGGGAGAAGCTGTCCAACGGAGAAATCCTGCTGCTGGACTGCCGGAATCGACCGGAGATGAGCGAGGCCGGGATCATCCCCGGGAGCTTCGGCGTCCCTCGTGAGCGTTTTCGCTTCCGAAATTTCGGGAACAAAAAAAAATTATGGTGGCGATGGGAAGAGAGTTGGAGGAATTTGGCTGTCGTGAGAAATGCTTTTCGGGAAAAATATTAAATTATCGTAATTATTGAAATTATTATAAAATCTCAGAGATTCGATAGTGAGTGATGGAGACGAATTCGTTGCCATCGCAGTCGCGGAGGTGGAGGAAGCCTTCAAGATGGACTCGGATTCCTTCGAGAGGAAATACGGGTGCAGGAAGCCGGGTCCGGAGGAGGAGAACGTGGTGGTGACGTGCCGGAGCGGGAGGAGGGCGAAATTGGCCATCGACGCGCTCCGTGCCCTGGGATATCAGCAGCTCAAGTCGAGTCGCCTGAAAAGACCAATATTTTAAAAATATAAATATATATTGTTCTTTAATTTTAGTTTTTTTTTTTTTTTTTCCTCTAGGTTATATCCGGGGGCATTCAACGAGTGGGTCGCCAAAGGGGGCGAAGTCGCGAAGTACCACGACCTGGAACGCCCCGAAAATTCCTGAATTTCCTCCACCGCTAGTCCTGACTTATCGTCGATTTTTAATACATTTTTTTGCCTGACGCGTTGGTGTGAATCGGCTGACGTGCAATATTTAGTGCTAAAAAACATGGTGAAATTTGCGCTCTCAGGAAATAACAGGTTTTTTGATCTGGTGTGGCTGACTTGTATTTCGACTTTTCTCGCATTTAAGGAGGGATTCGGAACGGAACGAAATCGATTGCTCCGAAAAACGGAATAATTTCGTTCCGTTCTGTTCCAATTACCATGGCCATTTTTTCCTTCAAAAACTTTCATAAGGGAAAATTTGTGAAGAAAAAAAATTTGGTTTCCCAGGGATACAAAAAAAAATTTTCCGTTATTTTTCCTTGTGGAAAATTGGATTGGAACGGAATGCACTCGAAAGGAAATGTTTCCTGGAGCGAAAAGGAACGAAATTAATAATCGTGGAACGGAACAAGTTGGGATCCGGTTGAACGGAACGCGGAACGAAAAAAATTGCATTCCTCAGCCCTGCTTTGAAGAGCCCGTTTTGTCATTTATGACAAGCATTCAGCTCTTTTTTATTTTTTATCTCTTCTTTATTTACTTACATACTTTTTCTGCCAGGTAATTTATGGACCGGTTCTTCAAAAGCTGTCAGTTGCTAGTTTCGGATTCCATGGGGGAATCCATTTCCTCGTCGAGACGTCGGCAACAACGACATTCCTGGATGAACGCGAGGCGACATTCCTGCCGTGATTCTCGTGTTAAAATGCATTGGCGCACCGCCAATACATTTTAACACGGCGGCTCCAAGTATATACTTCCCGCTTTGCCAAGTGGAGAAAAGAGGAATTAGGTCTCAAATCATAAGAGGAACTTTTTTATGATTTGAGACCTAATTCCTCTTAGCCTTAATACAACGCGGATATCAGTTGTGAGGAATAATAATGCATTTACGGGGAAAATCTACAGGCCAAAATTTTTTAATATATCTGAAATTGTGATAAACAAATTGCAGCACTACCTTTTTGGGGAAAACAAGGACCACTCCAGCACCAGGCCTTGCTCATCGGAGGTGTAATTCCGCCAATTTCTAAGCTTCACTGTTTCGAGACTGATCGATAGACTCTTGACCTGATGCCAGTGCCCGATCGGCAATTTATTCCTTCAGAAACTCGTGATGCAGCAACAGAGAAGCATTCGATTCACACACTAGCAAAAATGAATACCAACCAAAATGAGCAATCATCAGCCTTCATCTGACTCGAAGGGAAATGAGTCCAGTACTTGTGAAAGAAATTCCATGCATTGATGATTCCTTTGCATGAACAATTACATACCATTTGTATCGATATAACTGCATGCAGAGGCTGAAACGTGAGCACATGCTAAAATAATTGCTTATCGAGTGGTACAAAAAAAAAAACATTCATTCTGTAGGAAGCTGAAGTACATGGATGCATGGAACTTGTCAAAGGCAACTCCAACCGGCTACATTCTCGAAAACATCTCATCCGAGTCCAAAAGGAAGCGCTACCTTTTGAGCAGCACCTTTTTTTTTTCCAGGTGATACATAGACCTACGCAGAAAGGCTTTCCTCTTGCAACGAATACCACTGGCGATGTAAGGCATGATTCAATCCTCCACGGCCGTTCCGGTGTGCGATCACTTCAACGACTCTTGGAGACTCCTTCGTCTGGGTGACACTTCCTTTTATGAGTTCTGAGGTTTCGCTTCACTTTGAAGCCATGGCCACAAGTGTTACACTTGAAGGGCCTCTCGGTCGAGTGTCTGGACCGAACGTGATCGTCGAGATGACCCGACGACGCGAATCCGCAGTCGCAGAAGTCGCATTTGAACGGTCTCTTGGAGGGATCGAACCGACCGGGCTTGCGCCCGCAGATTTTGCTCGGCGGCAGGGTGGGTATGCTTTTGCTGTTGTGGGACAGGATCACGTGCTTCTTCAGGTTGCTTCTCAGTTTGCAGGCATAGTTACAGAGGTGGCATTTGAAGGGCCTCGCAGTGGAATGTTTCGATTGCACGTGGTCTTGTAAGTGGTTTTTGCATTTGAATCCACGGTGACAGATGTCACAGGAAAATCGAAACGTGCTCTTTGCAACGACCTTAGTCTCCTTTTTCGATGGGGAAATGTGAGAATATATGAGATGTTTCTTCAGATTCCCACTCAATTTGAAGGCAAGGTTGCAGAACTGACACTTGAAGGGCCTCTCATCCGAATGTATCGACTGGAAATGGTCTTGCAAATGGCTTCTGGATTTGAATTCACGCTTGCAGATGTCACAACCGATCTGCTGTCGCTGCCGTAAAACGGGCTTCGTTTCGGCAGGGCTCGCTTTCAGGAGGGCTTCTTTGGACTTCCACCGATGAGATCCCATCAGGTGTTTCTTCAGATTTCCCTTAATCGAAAACGCATGTCCACAGATGCCACACAAAAAGGGCCTCTCCTTTAGGTGCACCGAGCGGACGTGGTCCTGCAGGTGGCACTTCGACTTGAACGCACCATCACAGCTTTCGCACCTGAACGGTCGTTCGGCCGGGTCGAAGGCTCCGGGCTTCCTGCCGCGGGGCTTCTCCGGTGGGAGGCCGTAAGGCTCCAAGGCGGGGTCCTCACACACGGCCTCTTTGGAATCTGGCTCGACCATTTCCATCTTCATTTTTGAAGTGTCATTCTTCAACTTAGACTCTTCCATCTTCACTTCTTCGGAAGGAATGTCTGGAGTGATGAATTCAGGTGAGGAAGAGTTGGAAGATTCATCCTTCTCTTCGTCGCTTCTAAATACATCTCGGGCGAGACACAACTTTCTTTTCGCGATGTGGCAACGTTTGCCAAATTTCTTATCTCCATGGATGGTGGCAAGATGCTTTTTCAGATAAGCTCTTAATTTGAATGCACGACTACAACTGTGACATCTGAAAGGTCGTTCGCTCGAATGCCGACATCGCAAGTGGTCGTGGAGGTGGGCCTTCTGAGTGAACGCAGCCGAACACAGGCTGCAGCTGAACGGCCTCTCGGTCGGGTGAAACAGCCCCGGCTTCCTCCCGCGCACTTTCGATTCCGAGCTCTCGCGAGTCTCGGAGCCGGAATCGCTTTCACCGTCGCTGTCCGGGAAGAAGCAGGTGATCACAACCTCTGGGACGCAGGGATCGCTTTCCTCCGTCGGAAGCAATCCCATAACTTCGTGAAATGAGGTTTGGGTTAGATGATCTTTCTCTAAACTTTGAAGTGAAGGGTGCTCGGCTTCCTCATTGGATGAATCTTCACCCTCTGAAAACTTTTCAGGTGGGTTCTCGCTCATCTAAACCACAAACAAGAGCCACTACATGAGCATTGAGAAACATTAATGTTATGGAATATAAAACACCTCTTGAGTACTATTCAACTGAACAGAGATATAGTTACCAATTGTACTGATTTTTTAGTTTCCTATTTCATACCCATAAATTGACATATGGATATTGGTAAATTTCATTACATATGGAACACAAGCAACCCTGTACCAGTCTACACATAAAAACCTGGAAAACTCACAAGGAACACAAAGGAGCAAGCATACAACCAAATCAATTACCACGATAAACTTCAGCAACTTACTTGTTTCCATTCACTGTTTTTCTTCCCAGTTGCAAACTACCATGCAAGGTTATATGTATTTCATTACAAATTAAGTTTAACATCTCTGCTGCTGCTAATAATTTCTTAGATTAAAAAAAATTAACACCTGGAACCAAACACTCAAGACACCTCTTGCTTTGAAAGGAGAAAAAAAAAGAATTGCATTGAGTATGAATGCAACCAACCTCCCCAAGTTCATGCGAGGGCTCGGCACGCAGGAAAATGGACGGTACAGAAGGGTTGTCCCATTCGCCTTTCCCCTCACCTGGAAAGGAAGAACAAAAATATTTCATGTGCTTTTGAGCATGTAAGCATGAGCTGGATGAAAAGGAGCATTGAGGAATAATACCATCTTCTCCCAATGAAGGCAAATCCATCTTCATTCTCTGAGGTCATATCTGATCAAAATTCATTTTTGAACCATCTAGATGGTGAAATATGCAAACAATGCTGGAATACATGAACCCAGAGACAAGATAGGTAGCTGGGTTCAGCCTGTGGAAGCAAAAAAAACTATGCTGCGCATCATCATTTCACCTTACTCGTGCAGCATATTCTAGTCAGTCTCCCTGTAAGATGAAACATGTGCTATATTATTTATTTCTATACATATGACAAGCAGAAGACAATATAAATGTAATTTGTCTGGCATGAAAAATGCTGGGATTGATATGATATTAAATGAGAATAGACTCCTACAGAGACACTTCCATCAAAATTATCACAACAAAGATGCTATCAGAAATAATAATGTAACAAAATCTTACCAGTAAAGAAAATTGTCCATTTGACATGAGAGAATTGCCATCACTGCAACATTAGGTAAAATGGGAAACCCAAGGATGAGGCAAAGCTCACCAGCAGTGCAATAAATTCGGTGCATGTTGATGGATGAATGGATGATGACATTTTTCAACTCTTACAACCAATGATTTTGTCTTAAGTTTGAAAGCAATAGTTACACGAGAGCCACAGGAACTTTGTACCACATGGTTGCAAGATAAATTGCCAAGGAAATCGCCAGACTTCAGAGAACTAGTTGTGTGGCCGCAAAATAAGTTTGATTTCCATTCATTCTATTTTGCATTTAGGGGAAAAATTCTGAAAAATTTTTCAGAAATATCATGTTCATTACTCAATTGGTAAACAAATATATTGCCCAAAAATCCAATGGTATCTCCCAAAATCTTCTTTCATGGGGGTTCATGATGAAGCTAGTCATGTTTTCCAGCAGTTACTTGCAATGATAAATGCCATGTTGAACGTCATCTTGGCCTTCACAAAAATCTCTGACAGTTCAGTTTAAAGTCATATTTAGTTCTTACGAAGAGCTCATCAAAGAAATCTTTTTTAGTGGGAACTAGCACTCTCCCATCATAGATATATGAGTTGCCAGCAATACTCAATAAGTTATTGGCCCTCCCAGAAGGAAATCATTAATAAGGATGTCACAACACACCCATGGCAAAAATGATGCTTTAATCAGGCATCACAATGCATAAGTATCCTGAGGAGTTCTAGAAACAGAACTTGCAGATACAAAAATAATATATGATTGTGGAAGCTCACAGAGCTTAAAAATTCAAATGAGATTGAATGTGAAATCAGAGTGAGAAGGAAAATATAAAAAAAAAAAAAAAAACACCAACGAGACAACAGAATCCACCCGAAGATGAGCATCACCTGGCACAGTCAATTTTCACATTTGACACAGATGCTCATCCTTATGCCATAACACAAACGAATGAAAATTTGGTTCCAGCAATTTAATGGAAAAGAAACCACTTAGGTCCACAGAAAAACCCTGCAAATGCACCTGCATTCAAGTTATGTCTGATAGTAGGCATTAAAGCATAAGAAATATTAAAAAAAAAAGGACATCATCAAGCTTTCTTTCTCAGATATTTAAAGTCAAACAAATTTGAAAACAAGGGACTATCTTGCTTCCCAGCATCACTTCAGGATTACATATGTCTTCCAAAATGACTTCCTCTTGGTCCAGCAAGGAAAAAAATAAATTCGTTTTAGCAGTGATTCATGTATCCCTAATTATTAATACCCTCCTTGATATTCTGGCATAAACTGCTTTGTTATGGAACTCAACTACCTAAAGTAAAAAAAAAAGGAAGAAATAAAATGGAAACTTTAACTGAAGAGCTGCCATAAACGAACCCCAGAAAACTCATATTTCTTTCAAGAATAATGATTTGCAGAACCCAAAGATAGACAACAAAACAACATCCTTAGGCAAAGCATATGATATGCAAAATTTGTAACTTAGCCAAATATGTTACAATAATTATGGAAACCAAATAAATGTAATAATTCTACATGCTATATGTTACTGCTGGTGGCAAAGATCATGCTTCTATAAATAGCACAGCAAGAGTTGATACCTGCAGGTATTCTGGCAATTGGTATTTGTTAAAACTGCATATTTGCATTGATATCAGCCAAGTACTGCTTGGTTTTTCATAGAACAGGTTGAACTATAAAAACAGGCTTTTTTGGAGTAAAGGAAAGTCACTTCAAACAAATCAAAATGCATGAAAAAGACTGGAAAACTCAAATGACACAGGTCACAGAGGATGTACAAACCTAAATTCACTGTGACCTGCATGATTAATAGCTTGTTCTTGAAATATACTCTTTTCGACATTAGCTGCCATGAAACAGGGACATTGTCTATGTGCTCTGTGATATTCCTGATGGTAGCACAGAAGAGGCTAATTAGGTATTTCTGCCCCTTTGTCAGAAAAGGAACAGAAGTACCCAATGCATACAAATGCACAAAAACATTGAAATAAAGGTTTAAGAGTCTACATTTTTACACCCCAAATATAATTTCAAAAAGTGTTTCAAAACCATGATTACCAAAAAAATAACACATTTGACAGAATCTGCCAAACCCAAACATGAACACAACTTTGAGGAATGACTCTAAAATGAGAGATCCCAAAATACAAATTGCTCATGAGACTCATGTGCACAATCACAATAGGGGGTCAGATAATTTTAAGTTCCACGCTTCTTTATGCTTGATTCTGCAATGCTTGTTGACATCTTTCTTTCTCTTGAATGAATTACCACAAAACTCGCAGCTGAAGGGCTTCAGCTCCGAGTGGCAGACTTGATGACGCACGAGGTCGATCTTCTGCTTGAACGCCTTATCGCATAAATCACAGCCAAAGGACTTTACAACTAAATGAGACTTGCGATGATGCCAAAGGTGTCCCTTTTGCTTGAATGCTTTCCCACAAGTATCACAGGCAAACGGTTTCTCTGCCGAATGGGTCGAGTGGTGATATTGGAGCTCGATCTTTCGTTTGAACGACTTTTTACAAAATTCGCACTCGAAGGGTTTTACCTCCGAATGGATCGTGTGGTGAAGCACGAGCGTGCTCTTCCGCTTGAATTTCTTCCCGCATTCTTCACATTTGAACGGTTTCTCCTCCGAGTGGCACACTTCATGGCGACGCAATTCATTCTCCTTTGGGAACATCCTTCCACAAGTACCACATTCAAATCTCTGCTTTCGCTCATGGCGGAGCAAATGTCTCTCTAATGCATATTTCACCTTGAAGGACTTCCCACAGATATCACATTCAAATGGTCTCACAACAGAATGAACAGATTCCATGTGCTTGAGCAGACCCGGTTTCCACTCGAAGGTCGCATCGCAGATGCGACACTCGTACGCCAAGTGAAACGTCATGTGGTGTTTCAGGTTCACTGCAAATATGTATGCCTTGTTACAGTGAGGACACTTGAAAGGCTTCTCTCCAAAATGTTCCAACTTCATGTGTTTAGACATAACTGCCTTTGACCTGAAGCTCAGGCTACAGATACTACATTCGAGTGATGCTCGATGAGAAAAATCTGGCTTCTTCCTTGCACTCTTTCTGATGCCTTTGTCAAAGGCAATGCCACCAGGAGAATCACCATTCAATTTGTACAACTTATCAATATCAGTGGTAGTAATATATTCAACATTTGCTTCTACGACTTGCATATCACTCCTTGGTGTGGTTGTAGGAGCAATACATACAGGACCACACACAGGTGACTCCAGGTGTGACTCTTCCTTCTCAGGCAATGATTCTTCATGATGAGATGCTGATGACTCAGTCTATGTAGGAAAAGAGAGAATTGATGCTTCTTAACAATGAAGGAGTACACAATCACCAATGATATGCAGAAGTGTCAATACTTTCTGCCATTATGCTTAATGCAAAGATTCTGTTCTGATGCCATGCAAAGGGCACCTTCTGATCCTTCCCTTTTTTTTGTGATGCACCCCTCTGAATAGTTGATTTCTGGCATGATTACTTGAAGAACTCCCTTTCAAGGAGATTAGGGCTATTTCCCTCCCCTTCCTTGAATTCCAGGACATTTCTTTGCTTTTCATCATGTCAAATACGAAGCAGTGGGAAAACCACTTCTCAGAGGCTTTTCCCCTTTCTTCAACCCTCAACCCTCTTTATAGGACTCAGTTACAGCAGGCCTTGGTCCATCTCTTTTCTTTCTAAAGAATATCAAACCTCAGCCTATGCAGTTAAAATTAGGGTGAATCTCCAAGTTTTCCAGACATCTTGCAAAGCACGAGTAAGGCGAGACCAATTATGGGAAAATTCTAACTTTAGCAAACCATATCATAGAGGATATGTACTTTTTGACAGATCACAGGCCTGGTTCAGGTTTCACGAAACACCTCACTGAAGATAAGTAATGTCAGGCCTATCTGGAATTTTTTAAGGAACTGCAGGAAGGTCAGAAGAGAGAATTCCTCAAAGAATGAAATTCATTCTGGGCACCATCATTAGTATGGACATCCAAGCACAGTATTTCCATATTGCATCATATCGACTGATCACCACTAACCACAGACTTGGTTTCACTTCATCCCATGAACTCAGCACAAATATATATCACACATTACATTATAAAAAGAGTCACAAATCATGCACAGTTCCAGTATGAGAGAGCATACAAAGCCTTAAGTGACAAGACATTAAATTTTTTATGGCAAAAAAAGCACTTTCTTTCTTGATCTAGGAGTCGATATCTTTTTTTACTGCTTCATCTCTTTCCTCAAATAACCCTAGAAGTTGCTACCTGAGAGGGGGAGGAAGGAGAAAAAAGTCAATAAATTTAGCATCAAAATGTGAGATTCAGGGTTCACAACCCCAGGGAGATGGAGCTTTGAATTTCCTAGAGCAAAGCTTCATTGAAAGAGTAAGAAGCATATGCAATTTCATTTCTCCAGATTCTCTCATAGAGGAGTATGAGGAGGTTGAATTTCGTGATAAAAGGGTTGAAGAAAGACTATAGAGATAACATAAAATTGACACTAATATTGCCTAAATAACTATTTGAGCAGCTCAATACCTGTTGAATTACACTCAATAACTTTTTTAAAAGATGGGAGATGTGGATGAACATGTAATCTATTGACTTTTATGATGATGGCCACATTCCACAAAAGTGCCAGTTTCTCATAAACCATTTCTACAATATATTAATGAGAGGGATTAAACATAATCATCCAATTTCACTGCATAACACTCCAACAAAGCATCATGATCAGCTTACAAGCTCAGCAGAGATCACTTGCAAAGCATTTCCAGTGCTTTCAGCCGGAAACCAAGAACACCCGAGAATACTCTCTTCGGTGTCCCCAGCTTGGACTTCATCCTGGCCTGTTCATTAGAATAATAGACATTTGTTAGGAAAATAGGGAAAACACTGAAGCTTAAAATCGAGGATGCTGCTCACCATTCACCACTTCAAGGAATGGGGAGTCTAATGGCTCCTCTTTGATGACAGGAACCACAAGAGACATCATCTGGACAGTTCAATATGACTGAAAAAATAGAATGTCTTCCTGATGAAAACAAGTCAACAGAATCTTCAGGCAGGGCTGGGATTCAAAAGACAACAGAGCAATCAATGAATTAATTAGTCACGACCCATGTTAGACATGATTTGAGCTACTACATGCATGAGAATCCTTTTGCTAGAAGAGCCTCATGTAAAGGAATAGGGACAGAGAAGTACAAAAGAGACAGAACATAACATTTTACCCATAAGACACATGGAATGTGAAGATGCTAGAGACACCTGTGCCTCCTACTGGCACAGGAAGGAACCAGCAGGTGGCAAGGAAGACTCGCTAGAAGAAGCAGACGCTGCGGTGGAAGGCGAGCCGACTTGAGGCAGCTTGGCTGCAGAGATCCAGGGATCATAGTTCTCACTAGATTTACAACTGCTTGGTTAAATTCGTCCCACCTGCCACCATATTATCACCTCAGCTGCTACTCACTACTGAATGAAATACAGATTTAAAATATGTTCACCATTCCCTGCCATCTCAAGCTTTTTCGCGCTGTTTTCTTATTTATACTCGCTGTAAAATATTGGATTTACTGTTCATAAAAATTCCAGAATAAGTTTAAAGGGGTCCAAAAAAACCCAAACATGACCAACTTAATGTCAGACATGAATAACCTTTTGCATTCTTGCAAAAAAGTGTTTACAATGTACAATAACTGAAGCCTGAAGCTAAGCAGACAGTAAACACTCTACAGAAATTATTGACTGTCACCAACATTAGCCTAATGTAAACATTTTCACAACTGATTTCCTAGCCTACAAGTACATATCAGGATAGGCCTAGGTCCTGATTTAAAACATAAAAGAATCAACTTTTAGGAATAGCACATATAAAATCCTATTATGAGGCTCATTGGTCCATGAATCCCATGAACAGTCCTCTTGGTTTAAATTACCTCCCCCGACACATCTATTCCTCACAGCTAGATTGCATTCCATGGGATTTCCAGTTCCAGTTTTTACACTTTGTATATTTCTGAATGCTTTAAGAAAGGCATAAGCCATTCCTTAGGATTTCAAAAGATATAGGTTTTTGTATATTCCCCCACTTCCAAGTTTGAACTTCAAGGGCAACAAGCACATACACTGGGTAATGCATATTTGGTTTCTTTACTTTCAGTCACACCTCCCCCTCACTGGAAAGAAGAGAGGGTCCCCAATAAGACAGAGCCTCTGCCCTGGTGTCCACCAAGGTCCTGTCCCCATATCATAAAGCGAGGAAGTGCCACCAAAGTCAATAAATCCAAGAGAGGAATTTAAAATGGCAGCAGAGATCAATTCACAATTGTTGGAATATCTATTTTGTATCCAGACTATACAATTGTAGTCCCACGAGTGAAAACTCATGAGGAAACAGGGTACCTACAATGAGGAACAGTGCACATAAATGAAGCAAGGATGGTGCTTTCGGTTCCCGATCAACACGGGGGGATCCTGCAGCTCTTGCATATTCTAGTCAGGCTCATTACAAAATGATACTCGTGCCATTCTAATACCTTCCGTATACATGACGAGCATGAGGGCAACGTAAATATCATTCAGACTTTTCATAAATATTGGGAGACTACTGAAACTGCCACCCAAATAGCACACTGCAATGGAGAAGTGAATTCCTGAGATTCCTTTCACTTGATATTGAATGAGAATACTCAAACTTCTACAGAGACACTTCAATCAACATTGCAGCTACGTCATAATGCTATCTAAAACAATCGCATAAAATAATTGTATCGGTAAAAAAATATAGTCCACTTGACATGGTAGAATTGTCATCACTGCTTTATAAGGTAAAATGGAAAACCCATGGATGAGGCAAAGCTCACCAGCAGTGCAATAATTCCAGCGCATATTGGCAGATGAGAGGATGAAGACTATTTTTAACTATTCATGACTAATAACTTTGTCAGAAGTTTGACAGACACTTCTTCGTGAGAGCCACGAGAATTTTGCATCATACTGGTGGAAAATAAATATATTACGAGGGGACCTGCCAGTTGTGTGGCCACTTTACACTCGTTCTATTTTTCACTTAGGAGAAATATTAAGATGATTTATCAGAAGCATCATTTTCAGACTAAATTTGCATACAAAGATTGCCCAAAAATCCAGTGGTACCTCCCGGCAACATTTTCCAAGGGGCTCACGATAGTCCTAGTCATGTTTTCCAGCTGTTATTTGGATTGACAAACACCATGTTGAATATCTTCATCATTACCTTGACAAAAAGTTCAGGCAGTTATAATATGGAAATTTCTCAGAGTGCTCTTCAAATAAATTGTTCATAATGGGAACTTGCACTCTCCTGTCATGGATACATGTTTTAACAGCTATAAACAATAATTTCTTGACCCTCCCAGTAGGAATTCATAAATGAGGCTGTCATAACACACCCATGCCAAAAATGATGGTTTAATCAGGCATCACACTGTAAAGGTATCCTGAGAAAATCCAGAGACAAAACTTGCAGATATAAAAATAATATATGCTCGTAATTTCAAAGAGCTTAAAATTTCAAATGAGAATGAATGAGATATCACTGAGAAGGAATGACAAAAAACACAAATCGGACACCAATGACAAAAGAATCAACCCAAGGATAATTATTACCTGGGATAGTCTATTTTTATATTTCACCCAGCTGCTCATTCTTGTGGCATAGCACAAATGCATGAGAATGGGGTTCCAGCAATTCAATGGGAAATTCTCAAGAGATCACTCTGCTCTCATTGCAAAGCTCTATAACTGCATATGCATTCAAGTTATTCTTGATAAGCCACATTAAAGGCTTAGAAATACTAAAAGAAAATGGGCAGACCCTTACTTTCTTTCTCAGATAATTAATGTCAAACAAATATGGCACTGAGAGGCAAACTTGCCTATTAACATCACTTGAGGGTTAAATAAGTTTCCAAAAAATTGCTTCTTAGAACTTGCATTTTTCTAGTCTAGTAAGGTAGCAAAGCACTTGATAGTCTGAATGTGTTACTTAGCAAAAGCAGCTTCAGTAATTATGGACACCAAATACATTTATGTACTCTTGCTGCTGCATACAGTTGGCAGTTGCAAATATGTTTCTGTATTTGGCAAAGCAACGTTTGATTCTTGCAGGTGTTCTGCCAATAGGGATTTCTTATCAATAAACATTTGCATTGATATTAGTTCTTCTATTTCAGTGAACAGGCTGAGCAAACAAGAAAGCTCTTGCAGAGTGAAAAAAGTCACTATGGACAAACCAAAATATATGGGAAGATAAGACTACTCAAGCTAACACAGATCTCAGAAAATGTACCAACATAAACTCACTGTTCCCTGTATTACCAATAGTTGGTTCTTGAATTATACTTATATCGATGTCAATTTACATAAAGCAATGAAATTTTCTTTTTGCCCTATGGCATTCGTGACAGTAGTAGCTTACAAGAGACATACTGAGAATATCTGCTTCTCTATCAAAAAGGATCAGAGGTACCTGAAGAACACCAATGCACCAAAAACACTGAAATACAGGAGCAATCGTGAACACTTTTACAGCCCCAGGAAATTTTCAACAATTGGGCCAAAACCATTATTACTAGAAAAATATCAGCATGGTAACAATCTTCCACACTCAGACACGAACACAACCTTTGGGAATGACTCTAAAACGATAGACCTTATTGTTCAAATTCTGTCTTAGACTAGGGTGCACCATCACAATAAGGGGTCAGACAACTTTAAGTTCCATGCTTCCTTATGCTTGATTCTGCAATGCTTGTCTACATCTTTCTTTCTCTTGAAGGATTTGACGCAAAACTCACAGCCGAAGGGCTTCAGCTCCGAGTGACAGACCTGATGACGTGCAAGATCTATCTTCTGCCTGAAAGCCTTATCACACAAATCACAGCCAAAGGATTTTACATCTACGTGGATTTTGCGGTGATGATAAAGGGTTCCTTTTTGCTTGAAAGCCTTTCCACAAGAATCACATTTGAACAGTTTTTCTGTCGAATGGCTCGTTTGATGATACAGGAGTTCATACTTTCGTTTGAACGACTTTCGACAAAACTTGCACTCGAAGGGTTTTACCTCGGAATGGACATTGTGATGAACCACGAGCGTGTGCTTCCGCTTGAATTTCCTCCCACATTCTTCACACTTGAACGGTTTCTCCTCCACGTGGCACACTTCATGGCGACGCAATTCACCCTCTTTCAGGAAGACCTTGCCACAAGTACCGCATTCAAATCTCTGCTGTTGCTCGTGGCAGAGCAAATGCCTCTCTAATGCATATTTCACCTTGAAGGACTTCCCACAGATATCACATTCAAATGGTCTCATAATAGAATGTACAGTTTCCATGTGTTTGAGCAAACCCGGTTTCCATTTGAAGGCCACGTCACAAACTCGACACTTGTAGGCATCCTCGTCCAAGTGACACATCATGTGATGTTTCAGGTTCACAGCAAACATGTATGCCTTGTTGCAGTGAGGACACTTGAAAGGCTTCCCTCCATAATGTTCCAACTTCATGTGTTTAGAAATAGCTGACTTTGACCTGAAGCTCAGGCTACAGATACTACATTCGAGTGATGCTCGATGAGAAACATCTGGCTTCTTCCTTGCACTCTTTCTGATGCCCTTGTCAGAGGCAATGCCACCAGGAGAATCACCATTCAATTTGTACCACTTGTCAGTAACAGAGCCAGTGACATGTTCAACATTCACTTCTACGACTTGCACATCACTTCTTGGTGCTGCTATAGGAGGAAGATGTATAGGACTACACACAGGTGACTCTTGCTTCTCAGGCAATGATTCTTCAGGATGAAAAGGTGATGACTCAGTCTGCATTGGAAATAAGAGAAAAGTGGCTTCCTAACTATGACACACAATCATGAATGATAAGCAGATGAGTCAAATTTTCTGTCATGCTGCTTGCAAATAAGACATGATGATTTCAGGCATAACAAGCATGAACAGAATAGAACACTATAGACCTAGAGCAGGAATTTCAAAAGAGGCAGGTTGCTAAATTCAGTTCTGGTGCCATGTATGGGGGCAAAGGACACCTTCTCTTCTCTCCCTTTTCCCTGGCGAAACATTCCTCAGAATAAAACTTTGACTTCTGGCATGGTTATAGACAGAACTTCCTTTTTAAGGAGTTTTGGAACATTTTTATTCAATTCCCCTGCATTCTTGTACATGTCTCTGCCTGTCATCAGGTCCAAAAGGAAATAGCCAAGGATGAGTAGTGTCAGATCAATTAAGGTAAAATTCTAACATTTACAAAGCATTTCATGGAGCATGTGTAACATTTCACTGATGATGGGCCTTGTTCAAATTTCATGCAACATTTCAGTAAGGATGATGAGGATGTTAGGCCTACCTAGAGTTTCTTGAATAGCCACAGAATGGTCAGAGGAGACCTTAAAGAATAAAATGGGTGTCAGGTACCATCATTAGTGTGGACGTCCAAGCACAGAATTTCCATATCGTACCACATCAACCAGTCCCTGTTAACCATTGCTTTTGTCTCATATCATCCCATGAACTCAGCACAAACACGTGTCACACATTAAGGAATATTAGATGGAGACACCAGGATGGCAGCAGCAGTCTTGGTTCCCACATGAATCCAGTATAACAGAACAACATGTCTAAATAGATGAAAGGTAATGACATTTTTAAATGTAAATATTATGAATTGCAAGCAACAAAAGCAGCATTTCTTGATCTAGGAGTCATTATCTTTCTATCATTTACTGACATCTTTCCTCCAAAAACCCTCCAGGAGTGGCAACCTGAGGGGGGAGGGGAGAAAAAAGAAAGAAATTTACTTCAAATGTGATTTTCAGTGTTCCCTACAACCCCAATGAGATGCAGCTTCATGTTTGTTGGAGCAAAGCCTTCTTGAGAGAGTACGAAGCATGTGCTATTTTGTTCCTCTACAGTCTCCAAGGGAGGAGTATGTGGTTGAATTTTGTGATGGGAAGGGTTGAAGAAAGGTAATAGCCACAAGAGCACCTATATATTGCTAAATTTAGGGCATATATATAATTAATATCTCTTTAAACATTTCTACGATGCGTTACCAAGAGACAGTAAGCATGATCAATGAGTTCTATATCATAACACTCCAATGAAGCACCAAAATAAGCTTACAAGTTCAGTAGACACCATGTGCAAAGCATTTCCAGAGCTCTCAACTGGAAACCAAGAACACCCGAGAATACTCTCTTCGGCATCCCCAGATTGGGCATCGTCCTCGACTGCAGATAAGAATGAGAGAAATTTGTCAGAAAAATTTTAATTACTTGAGTTTAAAACCAAGGATAAGGCACTGCTGACTTTTCACCACTTTGAGGCATGTGGAGTCTGATGGCTCCTCTTTGATGACAGGAATCTCAACTGACATCTTCTGGATGGTTCAACATGGCTAAAAGTGAAAAGAAAATATCATTTCTTATTCCTGATGAAAAAAAATCAATGATAACTTTAGGCAGGGTTGGGATTCACAAGACCACTGAGAGAAATTCACAAATTACATCTGTGCGGATCCTTATAGCTAGGAGAACCTCAGGTAAAAGAATAAGTTCAGATAAGTATAGGGAAGGGAAGGAATATAACATTTTACCCAAATGACAATCGTCGGATGAGGATGCCGAAGACACGTGTTCCTTCATGGAGAGAAACCAGCTGATGGAGGGTGGGGCCTGATGCAGATGCTACAGTGGAAGGCCAACCAACTCAAAGGAGTTCAGCATGAAAGATGCAGAGGTCATGGCTCGTGCTAGATAGATTTACGTTTGCACAGATGTATTCACTCCACCTGCTGCCACATCATTGTCTGGGCTACTCCTCGCTTGTGAATGAAAAGTGGAACATAAAAATGTAGTCCCTTTCTGTTACCTGAAGTTTTTTCAAGGCATATTCTCACTTATACCCACTGTACAATATTGTATTCTTTGTTTGTCAAGGTTCATAATAAACCTAGAATAAGTGGCCCAGAATAAATGACAGACCTAACATCAGATATCGTTAAGAATTGTCCCTTCCTTAAAAAAAAGAGATTACAATGAAAATTAAATGAGGCCTGAAGCTAAGCAGATAGTATATGCTATTTAGGTTTAAATTATCCCTTAAACTGACATTAACTACATGAAAAACTTTTCACAACTAATTCCTAGCTTTGAACAAGAGAACACAATAGGCCTAGGCCATGCTTCAAACATAAAAGAATCAACACATGGGAGCAGCATACAAGAAATCTTATTATGAGGGTCATTTGTCCATAAGGCCCATAAATAGTCCATCTACTGGTTTAAATTACCTCCACCCACACATTAATTGCACCCCAAGGTATTTCTGGTTCTACTGTTCACATTTAATATATTTTTGCATGCTTCATGAAAGGCAAAGGCACTCCCTTTGAAGTTGAAAAAATACAAGGTTTTCATCTATTTCCTCACTTCCAAGTTTAAACTTCATAGGCAACAAGCACACACCATGGGCAAAGCACATTTCACGTCTTAACTTGAACCCCCATTTCTCCCCCGCTGGACAGAACGGACCGTTCCCAATGGAACAGAACCTCTTCCACAATGGCCCTGTCCTTACATTGTAAAGAGGGATTATAAATAAAACCAATAAATTCAAGAAAGAGATTTGAAGTGGTAGCAGAAAACAGTCCAGAATTGATGGAGTTTCTACGCTCGATCCAAGCGATACGACTGCGTGACTGTTAGCCTAAGAGTGAAAACTTTTAGGAAATGGGGAAGCTACAATGAGGAACAGGCAATCTAAAGTGAGTAAGAATGGACATTCCCACTCTGATAGATCCTGCTGCCTTTGCCCTGGGAATAACAAATCCTCTTCAAAGAAGGAAATAGGATTCCACGGGTTAAACGCGGGGACGAGCGGCTCCTCGGGATGTAGATGCGAGGGAGGGAACCGAGGCATACGTGGCATCGTGAGAAAGGCCTACAGGGTTTTCACGTCAAAAATAAATTTTCTCAACAGACTTTGACACTCAGGCAAGTGTGTGAGTCATGGGAAAAACTGTCTGGTCAAGGTGAAAAGCTGCACACATGACCTACGACGCCGGGTATACGATCACACCAACTATTTTACTCCACCCTCGCTAGTGAAGGAGTGCATGAAACGAACAATGGGGATATACTAGGGCGTCTCAAAAGTTCTTGTGCTTATATGTACGTTTTGTATTTGTACGTTTTTGTACGTATGTACGTACACCACCTGCACCAACTGGTGCAGGTGGTGATTGATCTCTGGAAAGGCCAAGTGCTGCTGACAATTCACGGGTACTGGCATGCAGCTGCTCCATCACCACGGTGCGAAGGGCCTCGTTTTCCACAACAGATGGTTGTTCCGAGTGAGGTTTGTCTGCGAGGCTGGTGTCTCCTTCGATGAAGCGTTTGAACCAAATTGCTGTGGTGTTTCTGTGGACCACACCTTCGCCTTCGATTGCACAGATTTGTTCGGCAGCTGCCTTCGCACTCGAGCCTTTTTTCCAGTAGTGACGCAACAGTACCCGAAGTGCAAGTTACTCTTCGGCCATTCTGGATGCTAAAATTATCCTAAATGAGACGAAATGTACAACGACAGATATTACTCCGCACCTTGACGCGCTTCAAGATAGGACCAAACACATATACAACCAAATTAAGTTCTATTCCGAAACATGTCATCAAATAAAACGTACAAATATGCACAATAACTTTTGAGACACCCTAGTATCTAGCGAGGAATTTGAGAAGATTCGGGTCAGTCGCAGAGGTGACGGCCTAACGTCAAGAAAGTCCAATCTCGATGTCGTCACTCGGAATCGGTAAATCATATCCAATCCAAGGCCTAGATTCGTCCGGTGCGTTATCCAGTTGCCACAATCGAGGGCGGAGAGTAAATCTGCCTATTCGTAACATGGTAGGCCTTGAAACCTTTCGGCGCGGACGCAAAGACGCGAGGAAAGCATGGAGCACTGTCGGTGGCCATGTGCGTCCCGAGGAGGGAAACAGCAGCCAGAGTTGTCGCATCCCAAAACTTTTCTTTCGCTTGGGGTGCTTCGTCGCCTTCCTTTCCCTATTTTCTGGATTTCATACCGATCGATGTGCCGCGTGAGGCCGGAAAATTTTAAGTCTTTCTTCGATGGTAAAAATCAGCGCGTTTGATAGATACGAAGGAATGAACGCAAACTCGGTCATGCAAGTACTCGCGCCTCGCGTCCCATGCAAAAGTCCTGCACGGAGTCTCGAACGCCTCAGTCGCTCCACGAAACGCTCCTTCCGCCCTTCCCTCGCTCTGCGTGATCTTCGAAGTCGCTCAGGCGATCCTCGGAATCCCGCCATTTCCTCGCCCACTTCTGCAGGGTGAGTGCATCGCTGCGATGGCCTGGGAACTCGGGGGATCGGGAACTCGATGGCCTGGGAACTCAGGTTCGGGGTACTCCTTCGGTTCATTTTTTCGTGCACGTTCTCTCGATTTAGCGGGATAGGAGGAGCAAAAGCCTTCCCATCCATGTCGTTGAAGGGACGTTCAATCAGGAATTTCAATGCGAACAGTATAGACCATTCTAATAGCAGAGATTTTGTTGTTTTCCTTTCGCTTGCACACTCTCTATTCGTGCGTTTTGCGTTGCACTCTTAAGATACGAGGCGAGAATGCATTCCGTCTCGTTTTAGTCTTTTCGAAGAGTCTTTTGTATTTCGTGGAAGAGGTGTCTACTTATTTTAATTTTTAATTTTAATTGTAATATATAATTTATTTAAGAACGAAGATCGCACGGTGACACTCGCAGGCCGGAGACCATCGTGCGAGTCACGAAATACAAAACGGAAAAGCGAGAAGTCCCCGGAATCGTGACATCAGCGGTGCGTGCCCCAGGAAGAACTCCCCGTGCATCCCTCCTCTTCGCGGAAAGGGGATCGACGAACGGAAAGGGCCGAGGGAGAGACCCATCTCCCATTGCAGTGCACTTCAGGAATCGCGGGTCCCCTCAAACCACTCCTGAGATAAGAGGCGAGACATCATCCCGTCTCGTTTTGGCGTTTGGGTTCTGGTCGACCCGTGACAATCCGACCGCGATGAGATTGCGTCGAATGTTCTTCGAACTTGCGTCGTGTGTGAGATCCTTTTTCGTCTGTAACGAGTTAGTTGCATCATTCTGTGTCGCGATCAGGTGACTCGAGGCGGTTCATTTTCAATTTGGAGTGGGGAGAACTCTGTCTTGGCCAGGTGAAGGTTCTGTGGCTGTTAAAATATTATTTATTTATTATTAATTGAATTTAAATGTAAATTCATATAAATATTTACGAAGGTGGTAGAAAAATACATGGACATTAATTTTTTTTATAACGAGAGAGCTAAAACACTGATATTTCAAACTTGGACTTTTTCTCGATTCCGTCTCCGTTCACATGATTTCCTCACCAACGAAACCAACGATTCGAGCCCTCGCCAAGCCATTCTCGAAGTCGCACCGAACACTGATCCTTTAGTGACATTTTTGCAGTCGTCGGAAGACGGATTCGGTCTTCTCATACTCAGCAAGAAGGGCTTTCGTCGCCATGCGCCATCCGTGCACGCACTCGCTTGACATTTTGCCTAAAACTGTTCTCGTTGAGACTAGAAACCTGTTGTCCTTCGCAAATTAGTAGTTGCATTGGAACTGGAACATCCAACCGACAATCCCAAGCAGCATGTTAATGTTTATTTTGAGTATAATTAATATTAATTTTTTGTCTATTTCATATCTTTTTTGCACAAACCATCATCAAGATAATGTCACTATGTTTGCAGAAATGTCACCTTTGTAATACGCAAACCGTGAATTAAAATTAACGTAACTTTGATGTAAGATTGACATTCCCGTTAACATCCCTAACAGGATGTTTACATTCATTATACGTAAAGTTGATCCTAATTCCCCCCTTGCATTCATGCGTATTTAACGAGCCGATTTGTACTTTTGGAGGAAACTGATGCACTATTTCTCCCATTCTATTCCACACTTTGGAATTCTAGGGTACTTGGACGAGTACTCGAGTGCACAAGTACTCATCCTCACCATCACTCAGTTGTACTAAGATGACCTATTGCTTCCTCCTCCCGTACCAGAACCTCGGGAGGAGGAGTAGATGTTCAAAGGAGCTCTCTTCCATTAAGGATAAAGAAGGTATTGTATTAATACTTGCGGAGCAAAGATTCTGATCTTCTTCATTCTCATGCGCTGCAGGAATAACAAGCTTAGTTTCAGCATTTGGTGATTCCCTGAATCATATATTATTTAAAAATATATATTCATGGATTGCATAATAAATAGTGGAAGGATGGTAAAAAAAACTGATACTATATCAGGAAAGCCAGTACCAAATAGCATTTGTTGGGTGCAGGGAACAAGGGTTACATCTAGTGAGGAACTTTGGTACTGCAACTGCGGGGTGGTCAGTTAAAGTTTCATATGGATAGTGTGGCTTTAATTTCGCATAAACTTGATATCATGTACTTAACGTTAGATGAAGTGACGTCTAGTTCATGAAAAATACACGTACAATTTGGTGACGTAAATATAGGAACGTAAATTATACGTAAACTTGATACCATTTTCATGGCAAACGCAATAAATTTACATTGTTTGCAAAGAATTGATATCGTGTTTACATAAACATGCTGCTTGGGATGTTTCCATAGCTTTTCATACTACTTGACGGGCAAAATGGGGAACAATTCACGCTAGACCCTGAGAGGATACTGCATTTCGAAGCTGTTTTATTTTGGTTTTTCGCAGATGTTTGGTGAGAACCTTGTCGATTTGATTAGACGACATGCTTCAGACGACATGCTTCAGACGACATGCCTTCTCGCGACAGTCGCTCAA